CATATAAAATATTTTAGGTTATTAATATAATATATAAAATATTCTAGGTTATTAATATAATATATAAAATCGTTTAGGTTAGGTTTAGGTTAGGTTAATAATAATAATATAAAATAATATATAATATATAAAATATATAATAATACATAATAAGGTTAATAATAATAATATATAATAATAATTAATAATAATAAAGTTATATTATAAAGTAATTAAATGATATGTAATTAATAGTAAAAGTAATACATAATAAGTATTAATGATTAAATAATATGATGTGTCAATTTTTTGCGTGTATTTCGAAATTTTCATCTACTAGACCATATATTTTTTTTCTTTCATCATAAATCGAAAGAATATTAAATTTCAAGTAAAAAAAAAAGTATTAAGCCGAGTATCAAGTATCGATCCTAACCTAATGGTTGAAGAGATACTTTTTACCTTACTAATTTGTCTCGAGCATGGAAAAAACATATGAGGCCCAATTGAAGAGAACAAAGATGACCTTGAAAATTTCGATACCCACAAAAGAGATTGATTCATTCGACGCATAATTTAAAAATTATTTCAAATGCACAAGTTACGTGAATCACCCTGTATAATATCGCGGTATAATATACCCCCAAATATACTGCACGAATTTTCAAATCCCCTCGACAAAAATTCTAATTCCCCGAGATAGAATAACAATGTTCGATGCGTAACATGGAAATTATTCTAATTAGAATAATCAATTCAACAGTTGTAAACGATACGTAATATGCATACAACATACGTAAATATTTAATTGCAATTACGCGCGTGTATAATAATCACTATATATAATAATGGCAGTAAACATTCGAGTGTGGACAGAAACTTATTTCTCGCGGTAAGATCAATCATCTCGCTCGAGGTGTGCCGCATATTTAGAAAGATTCAATGAAAAACAATTTAACCTTTTAAAGTAATAAAATAGTTTAATTTTCCAAAACATTTTTCCATTATGAAAGCAGACGTATCTTGCGGAGAATCTGCAGCAGAATTTAATAAAAGCGGATTAAGAAGTAAATATTAACGTTAATATAAGCGTTATTCTTCCCCCTCCCCTGCTCCCCTTTAAATAAAGGATAAATAATAATAATAATTTCTTGACACATTTTCACAAAAAAGGGATCAACGCCTACGCTGCTGACGATGGAAATATTTTTTTAATTTCTCGAATAAAGGCGTTTTCGTTTATGAATACGAAACGGCAGGGCTGCATTTCCTCGCTTTCCAACGAGGAGTTGCAAATATTCGCGGCTGTCACCTCGGCGTACAGTTAACGAACATACACACAATTCCACACACCTGTAACGCTATTTTACGCGCGTGCATTCCGCTCCCTCTCTCTCTCTCTCTCTCTCTCTCTCTCT